TCCTGCTCCTCTGATGCTGCCTGGCATGCTGTGTTCATCCAGCTCTACACCTTGTTATCTTATACTGTACACATGCATTGGTTGCTAGACAGGTAGACAATCACAAGTGGAAGACGGACTCTTCCATTGGTGAAGTGGGTCTTTCATGCCAGTCTGAGAATTGGCACAAGAGCCGCACTGCATCTCTTGGGAAGGCCAGCCAAATCATCTGTTAATCAGGCATTTCTGAGGACATTGGTGGGGCTTCTTCCAGAATTAGGTCCTTAGGGTACGATCAAGGATCTAGGAGTGACATATGATTTGTAATAGGATGCAAGCAGAGAATGGGGTGGTGTTTGCTGGGTTGAGGAAGTCATGAAGGGAGGGGTTACAAGAAACAAAGATAGAGTTTGTCCCAGCAGACACAATCCATGCCCTTGGTCAGACACAGACTGCCTTTGATCCAGGCCACAGCCAGCTGACAAACAGCCTATGTTCTTTCTGTTTACAGTACAGACACAGTGGGGATGCATGCCTATGTTAATCGCAACAATCACGGAAAAAGGCTCTTAGATGGTTCTCAGTTAGTTACTTAAGGGCCTTAGTCGGAGGCAGAGTAGGAAGGTTGATCATGGAAGCCAGGCACGACACCACCCCACCCCAAATGTCCTTCCTGTCTCCTACCTCGTACTATTTCTGGGAACATGAAATTCTGCCTCATATCTGTAAAGTTTCAAGTCACTATGTATAGGCAACAAGAAACATATTTTTAAGTTTTAAAACTATTAACAAATAGATTTTAAGAGAATAACTTTGTTAACTTATTAAATTTACAGCTATTAATTAATAGTTAACTGTTAATAATTTACAGAAATAATCAGTGATGGAATTGAATGTTGCCAAAGTACAAGTATTGATCAAGTAAATATTTAATAATCTTGACCACTATCATTAACTCACTCTGCTTAGATTTATCCTAATGCTTTGTCTCTTAGTCAAAAGATACAGCATAAGACTTAAGGCCCTGAAATTTTAGAAAAATCAAATCAAGCCATTTTCTAAAAAAATGTCATTTTTGCAGAGATTGCATCTTCTTTCTGCAACATTACTGACAGCCTACACCTTGCTTACCAAATTGATTTCTGATAACTTAACCAAGTATTGCCCATGTTTTGTAGAAGAAGGTAATTAGAGAAACAAACTTGCTCGCAGGTGGGGAGAAAAGAAACCTGCTCAGCAAATTAAGACTCAATGTATTAAGTTTCTTTTTCTGATACTTATATTTAATCGGCCAGGAATTGTTCTCATTGCTCATTGCAACGTCATAAAGACATTCAAAACAAAGACAGTTTTGTTGTTTCTGCATAGAATGATTACAGCAACTGGTTGCCTCAAAGATATAAGAGAGGACTCACCCTCATGTCACACACAATAACACATTGGACAAATAACACCATTTCTTCATCATTACTGAGTGAGAATCTTGGAAATCTCCATTTAATAGCAGCATGGTAGCACCATCATCTCACAGACTACCGTAATTCAAGAAACCAACTAACATCGCCAAGAGAGCAGGCCATACTAGACTTGGTATTAGGGAGTGATCCAGGACAGGTGATCAATATTTCAGTAGGAGAATATATTGGGCTTAGTGACCATTACTCCATAAGATTTCAAGTAGTCAGGGACAAGGATAAAAGTGGCCAACAGGTGAGGGTGTTTAATTGGGTAAGGGCCAATTACCTCTAAATTAGACAAGAACTAGGGAATGTGGATTGGGAGCAGTTATTTGAGGGCAAATCTACATCTGGCATGTGGGAGGCTTTTAAAGACCAACTGATTAAAGTGCAGGACATGCATATCCCTACAAACCTGAAGGGTAGAAATGGCAGGATCCAGGACCCAGGACCCATGGATAACAAGAGAAATTGTAAACTTAGTCAAAAGGAAAAAGGAAGCATATGATAGGTCTAGGCAGCTACAAATTGACAAAGGCCTTGTGGAGTATAGAGAAAGTAGGAAGGAACTTAAACATAGAATTAGGAAGGCTAAAAGGGGCCATGAAATATCTTTAGCCAGCAGTGTCAAGGAGAATCCCAAACCTTTTTATGCATATACTAGAAAAAAGGGAAAGAATAGGACGCCTCAAGGACAAAGGATGAAAGTAATGTGTGGAGCCACAGGAAGTGGGAGAGATCCTTAATAAGTACTTTGTACCGGTGTTCACTGAGAAGAAGGACATGACTGATGTTGAGGTCAAGGATGAGTGTGTGAATACTCTACAGAATGTCAATATATTAAAGGAGGAAGTTTTGGGTATCCTAAATTGCATTAAGGTAGACAAGTCCCCAGGGCCAGATGGGATCTATCCCAGTTTGCTGCGAGAGGCAAGAGAAGAAATAGCTAGGGCATTAGCAGATATCTTCACATCCTCCTTGACCACAGACAAGATTCCAGAGGACTAGAGATTAGGCAATGTCATTCCATTGCTTAAAATTGGAAGCAGAGATAATCCAGGAAATTATAGGCCAGTGAGTCTGAAATCTGTGGTGGGGAAGCTCTTGGAGAAGATACTGAGGGACAGGATATATGCACATTTGGAAAAAAATGGACAAGTTAGCGACAGGCAGCATGGTTTCGTACAGGGAAGGTCATGTCTCACCAACCCGATCGAATTTTTTAAAGAGGTGACAAAGATAATTGATGAGACAAGAGCTGCGGGTGTAGTTTATATGGACTTTAGTAAAGAATCTGATAAAGTCCCACATGGCAGATTGGTACAAAAGCTAAAATCACATGGGATTCGGGGTGGACTGGCTAGATGGATACAAAACTGGTTTGGTCAGAAAAAACAGAGGGTAGTGGTAGAAGGGTGTTTTTCAGAATGGAGACCTGTAACTAGTGCTGTTCCACAGGGATCAGTCTTAGATCCTCTGTTGTTTGTAGTGTATATAAATGATCTGGAGGAAATGTGGGTGGTCTGATTAGTAAGTTAGCAGATGGCACAAAGATTGGTGAAGTTGCTGATAGTGCCAACAATTGTGAAAAGATACTACAAGATGTAGATAGATTAGTGACTTGGGCACAGAAATGGCAGATGGAGTTTAACCCAGGCAAATGTGAAGTGATGCATTTTGGAGGATCAAATTTAGTTGTGAATTATACTGTTAATGGCAGATCCCTCAGGAACAATAACATACAGACCAATCTGGGCATGCAGATCCACAGTTCCCTAAAAGGGGCAACATAGGTGGCCAAAGTGATTAAGAAGGCATATGGCATGCTTGCCTTCATCTGCTGGGTAATGGAGTACAAGAGTTGGCAAAACATGTTGCAGCTATATAAAACCCTTGTTAGGCCGCATTTGGAGTATTGCGCGCAATTTTGGTCACCACGTTACCAGAAGGACGTGGAAGCTTTGAAGGGAGTGCAGAGATGGTTCACCAGGATGTTGCCTGGTCTTGAGAGCATTGGCTATGAGGAAAGGTGAAAAAGACTAGGATACTTTTCATTGGAAAGACAGCGGCTGAGAGGAAACCTGATAGAGGTCTACAAAATTATGAGGGGCATAGATAGGGTAGATAGTCAGAGGCTTTTTCCCAGGGTTGAAGTTTCAATTACAAAGAGGCACAGATTCAAGGTGAAGGGCAAAAGTTTAAGGGAGATGTGCAAGGAAAGTTTTTCACGCAGAGATTGGTGTGTGGTGGAAGGAGGCACATTAGTGACATTTTAAGAGGCATCTAGATGGTTACATGAATTGGGATGGAATAGAGGGATATGGACTGAATAAGGGCAGAAGGTTTTTTTTTCGTTTAGTCAGGGCATAATGACCGGCACAGGCTTAGAGTGCCGAATGCCCTGTTTCTGTGCCGTACTTCTCTTTTGTTCTTAAGTCAACTAGAGATGAATTATAAATACCAATCTTGCCAGCAATATCAAATATTCCTCTAAACTTTGCCCATATATAGCTGCACAACAACCCAAGGGATATCATGTAGACCGCTCGAATGTACGCTTTGAGATACTGTGATTGTGTTGTTGTTCAAGAAGAAAATTAAAAGATGTGATATACTGTACTGAACTGAACTACATTCCACAGGCCTGTGGAAGAATAATTAAAGTGTCAAGAGCAATTAGATGTAAAATGTAGCTAAAGCTTAGAATTAGAGGTAGGAATGATGGGAAAATAGGTCAAGTAAGAGATATGCGACAAATTGTTGCATATCTGTAGAAAGCTTAGAACCTGTTGTTCAATGTTTACCCAAAGCTTAAGACATGTTCTGTTTAAAGATAACGTATCAGCAATCAGATGTGGAACCATGACGTATGACATGTCATATGACCTGCCTTAAGGAGATGTGATGAACTGTGTCCGTGCTTATCTGCTTGTAACAACTGTCTCAATTTATAACGGCGTGTATAAGTATTGCCTTGTTTTTGTACTTATCGGAGATTATGAGCTTGACCTTTTGTCAGTGTTGGTTTCCCTGTGATATCACGAATAAAGCCTCTTTACCTCGAAGTCTAAAGCTCCAGTGTGTGACTAAATTAATATCTTCAATAATCTGGTGTAATCGGCAGGATCCCTATCTTTACCGGATCCGGACAAATTGATACGAATAAGAGAAAGGAGTTTGCGAGGAATTTGAATTTCCCCGGCTGGTGATCCACGTTGAGCCACCCTGATCTGATCTCGGGGAGATTGGAAAGACGGGACGGGCAAGACCACGTGCGGAAGACCGAAACTCGTTGAGAAATAAATGAACAATTAGGACAATTAGAACGAAAGAACAAAACAGTCTGGGAGACTTCGAGGAATGAGGTATAACAAGATCTCGGGGCTGGGGAAGGGTGAATTAGTTTGTAAGATTAGTGTATAAGAAACGTAATTATAAATTGTTAACACTCATTTAAATTTAGAGTTTGATCTCTTGGTAAGTGGGACTTCTTAAATCATAGGTAGTCAAAGAAGCTAAGAGATCCGAGGGAAAAGAGTTTCCTGTGAAACTGAAAAAGGCAACTTCAAGGAGGATTCAGGAAATCCAGAAACAGCGCTAGCTGCTTGGGGACCTGCTGGTTCCTCGCAGATCGCCTGGTGATAAGGTTTGGCTGGAACCAGGAGATAGCAGGTACTCTGGTACATTCTCTAGTGATTTGTACGGGTGGTTGATTTGAAAAGGATACACTTTAGGAAAAGTGAGATAGAGGCTAGGAACGGAGACCCAAACTGGGATTATAACTATGTGATTACTTGTTTTGATAAATGGTTGGAAGTGGCCAGGCGCCATCAATCCCCGAAACCTGAAAAAGACAAGGCTACTGGTGATGGTAAGAATATTAAGCTGAGTGCTCCTGCTACTGGAATGTATCCAAAGTTAGAATAGTCTGATGAAAGCAAGGATCAGGTTGTGCATGATATTCTCTTGGCAGCCGCTCTTAGGGACCGTTTCCCCTCACCCCACCCCCGCCCATCGTGAACCTTCACTTAATGACCGAACACCTTTAGGTCACCTCTTCAGACACAGTTGGGTTAGAGATCCGAAGGCGACGGGCAGCTGAACGGGCGGGTATCCCCGACAGTGTTCCTAAGTAGTATGGTTGAACAATACCCCCGCATAATGATAGGGGAAGTTCCTGTATTAAGCCCCGGACCCCCTCAGATTTGAAGTATGATAAATAAAGCCCCGAACCCCCTTTTTTAAAAAAAAAACCGTCCCGTTTCATTAGTGGTTAGTACAGACGTGTCAAATTTATAACCCCTTGCCCGGTGATGTGCTGTTACTATTGAAAGTTGCATATGGCACTTCCTGGCCAGCTGTTAAAGATTTGTTTGCCGTCCCACCAGGACTCCAGGGTGACTGGGCCCCTGCTGATGACCAGGGAAACGAGAGTAGAGACGCTTAGCTCTGGACACGCGCTAAAGATGCCATCACTAATGGAGCTAGGCAATATAGTGGTTTTGGCGAGATGACCTATTGCATTCAGAAAAAGGGGGAAGCAGCTGACAGACTTCATTGCTAGGTTTAAGGATACTTGGGAATCCAGTCCTGAGGTGTTTTGCGCCCGGCCCAGAGTCTCTGTAACACCCCCATATTGCCCATTCCTAAACTTGGTATAAAGGGCGAGTGGTGTTTCGTCCCAGACCTACGCGCCATCAAGCAGATTGTGGTGCCTGACACCAATGTTATTTTGTCCTCCTTACCCCCCGATTCGACTTGCTACACAGTAATTGACCTCCGCTCAGCCGCCTTTTCTATTCCTCTGCATGAGGATAGCCGACCTTTTTTGCATTTACTTAGTGGCAGACAGTATACGTGGACCCGGCTGTCTACGCCGCTGTCCGTGCAGACCACCTCAAACTTCTCTACTCTAACAGCACAGTCTTACAATAAGCGACGATTTATTAATCGCCTCTATTGACTGTCAGCTGTGAAAAAGACTCAAGTTGCTTTACTGTATCACCTGGCGATTAAAGGGCACCGTGTCTCCGCCCCAAAACTGCAGCTCTGTCAGCCTTCTGTATGGTACGTAGGCTTTATTTTGGAGAACGGCACACGTCGGTTGGGTCCTGAACGAGTTGCAGCGATGCTAAAAGCCCCCTTGCCCAGTAAACAGATGTTATCCTTTCTTGGTATGGTTAATTATTGCAGGCAATGGATACCCGAGTACCGACGCGTGGACGCAGTCCTTCGGCAGACTACCTTGCGGGGACATCCCACTGAAATTGAATGGACTGAAGAACGTCAGAGCCTTGGCCGAGCTTAAGACGGCGCTGACTCAACCCCCCCTGCCCTGGGCATTCCAGATTACAACAAGCCTTTTGCACTGTGTTAGTGAAAAGGAGGGGTTTGCAAGCGGCGTACTGACTCAAGAACATGCTGGACTCGAGCGGCCGGTAGCATATTATGCCTCCCGTTGTTAGAGGAATGCCTGGTTGTCTGTGTGCTGTTGCCGCCACTGCTGTCATCTTAGAAAAATCCCATCCTATTGTTTTAGACCACAAATGTCACTTTGGCCCCCGATGCAGTGTTAATACTGCTAAATTCGGCGGCGACTCAACATTTTACTGCCACTCGCCACATTGGGTACAAGGCCATGTTGCTGTCTAAGCAAATGTCTCGTTCTACCGAGCTCCCTCACTAAACCCCGCCACCCTTCTCCCTGATAGACCATTGTCCACTGTAGACCATTTGCCAACAGTACAATAGGGGGAAAACACCAGACAAGTACCGGTGTTATCATCCCTAGATTTGGAATACTCGTTAAAGTGAACAGCAATAGAGGGACACACTTTATGGGAAAAATGGTTACAGCCCTGACACAGGCCATGGGATTTGAGTGGAAGGTGCACATACCTTACCAACCCCAATACTTCAGAATAGTAGAACGAGTCAATGGTACCCTTAAAAAAAAAATACCCTTGGAAAAAGTCTGTCAGGAAGTTGGTTTAAAATGGCCCGAAGCTCTGCTTGTTACTCTTTACACCCTAAGGAATCAGGTAAATAGAACAACAGGTCTAACCCTGTTTTGAGGTCTTAATGGGATGATCCATGACCACAGGCACCAAGCCCCCAATGACAGGGACTGATGTGGCATTAATTTGGGTCGATGAGAAAACCTTACAGTATGCACAGTCCCTAAGTGAGGCGGCCCGGTCAAGTCCTGATAGTCTTTGCAGCACTACCAAAGCCCAAGGAGGGGAATAACTCATCCATTTAAACCTGGTGACTTTTGTATATATCGAAGCACTTGAAAAGAATTCGTTCTCTCCTAGGTGGAAAGGTCCCTATCAAGTACTACTGGCACCTGCACTGCTGTCAAAGTAGAACAACATCAGGATTGGATTCGTGCTACTCGGTGCAAACTGCTGAAAGATAATGTTGCTCTGGAAGACTAAAGACCTAAAAAATGCAATGGCTTCTAATGACTCTTGTCTGTCTCCTGGGCAGTCCAGTTAGATCCGATGTGCTGGCACCAGTTAGAGTCCACCTACCTTCCGGCCCCTAATTCCTTTTCATCCCTCAGTTACAAATATGCATACGGCTAAATGTCTCCTCATGCTGGGTGTGCACTCGCGTCCCGATTCACTCAAAAGGGGGAATCCCCTTACAACCAATCCCCTTTAATGTCTCCGAAGTGGCAGAATGGATCATTCGACAGAATGAATCCCTAAGGGCTGGTGTTTGCATGGCTGCTACATCTTCCGCAGAGAGGGGGATATATTGGGTGGACATTTAAGGCACCTAAAATGAGTGGGAATCGGCAAGGTACAACTTTTTAACATGTAAAGGTTGGTATCAAGCTCAATTTAATATTCCCGTATCCCACCATATGTTGTTATCACTAACACGTTAAGGGTGGGAAAACTGGTAAATTCCATTTGCCTCACTAGATTTAACCTTGATGGTTGGTTTATGGGTCAGAGTAATTGCACCCAATATTTTAATGTTACGCCCAAGGCTTGGCCTCCATCCAAGCTTAGGTTTAATAACTTCACATCTGCAGGAACTTTTGACCATGTTTGGTTTCCTGATTATGTAACTCTGTTTATCCCTTATAACAGATTCTGCCCATGGAACATGAGATGTTTGTGACTGCAGTCCAAGATGGAAGTCCAGACGATTGAGTGGTGAGCTAGCATCACCAGGAATCAACTGACTTTCACGTTGGGAATTGTCACTCTCTATTTTCTATTTGGCAGGAACTGGGATATGTGGGAAACTGCACATATCAAGACATGATTTGGCAATAATAGCATGCTAATGCAGGCAAATAGATGTAAACAGGCTTCTCTTCACTTACTAGTGGAATTCTTGTATTGCTATTCAAAACTTGGTTAGAGAATTGGACTATTTTCTTAATGTCAAGAACCCAATTTCTGTGATCTCACCTTATTTGACTCACTGATACCCAGATTATTCAGAGGCTGAGAACATAATTGAAATTGCTTTTGTGGTCCTTTGATTTTTCCCTAATTGTAATGGTGTCTTTTGGTGCTTACTTGCCATGATTGTGATGCTTGATCTGAACTGTCAGCATTTTACTTGCATCGTACTTTCCCCATATGGAAACTTTCTTAAAATTGTCCTCTTGCCGACCAGGGATTTCAGCTTTATACACAGAACCTTTTTATGTCTGTTCACAACTGCAGCTGAACCCCGGCTTGGGACTTCTCCTGCAGGTCACTAGCGCCCAATGCTATTTGTAACTGAGATAGTAGGCCTTGGAGTGGGAAATGCTCCAGGCTGTTCTGAACAATCTCTTGCTGTTGTATTTCTCTTACCCGGTCTGAAATGTTTTTACATTGACTGTAGATTCCATCTTTTGCCATAAGGTTTTCTTCTGTAAGATTTGTAAACTTTCAGCCTCTCCAGCAGCAGACTGTCTGCACGAGTAGCCCTCTGATAGCTGTGTCTGGAAAAAAAACCTTCAGACCTCCACCATTACCAGTGTGTAAGATACAGCTAAATGAAACCTTATCATTCGCTACCATGCCGTAAGGTGAATCCTCATCATTGCTGATCATGTTTATGAACTACCCAGTACTGGCATCATCCTCTTTCTTGATAGGGATCCATAGGACCTACTACTTGTGGTAAGATAGAAGAAAGCCACTTGGTAATCTAATGAGGTAGTAGGAACTGCAGATGCTGGAGAATCTGAGATAACAAGGTGTAGAGCTGGATGAACACAGCAGACCAAGCAGCAGCAGAGGAGCAAGAAAGCTGATGTTTTGGGCCTAGACCCTTCTTCAGAAAGGATGAGCATATCTAACTACCAGTGCCAAGCATGCACCTTTGTTATGCACCAGACCAAATCCCCTTCAAATATATCAAGGTGATAGCCTAGACCCTTTTCTGAAGAAGGGTCTAGGCCCAAAACGTCAGCTTTGCTGCTTGGCCTGCTGTGTTCATCCAGCTCTACACCTTTGTTTTCTCTGGTAATCTAATGAGAAGAGGTTCTTGTCTTATTGCAACAAATGGCAAGTTCCATTGGTATGATAAACATTGTCACAGAAGCTCTGAGGAGGATCTGGATGGTAGGTCGCCTCTTTCAAGATTCAAAATTTCTCTCCCACCAAATCCACAAGACATCAGCATAATGGATGTTACTTAGGGCATTCTTCACCATTAACCCTTTTAGGCCTATGCATCTTTATCAACAATTAGCACAATAAATGGCACTTTTGGCACTCGGTCATATTAACCCTTTTAGACCCATAAATAATGAGTTCCCCTCCATGCTACAACACTATCCTGATGTGGAAATATCTTAGTTGTCACTAGAACAAAATCCTGAATTATCTAACTACCAGCACCAAGCATACACCTTGTTATGGACCAGACCAAACACCCATTAGATATATCAAGGTGATAGCCTAGGCACTAACTTTTTTTTACCTTTTATTTAAAGGCAAGTGTAAAATGTACTTCACTTGGTTACAAAACACAACTTTTAGGAAAACACACTTTATTCTTGCTTTACAGTTTCTTTTTTTTTCATAGAATCCCTACAGTGTGGAAACAGGCCCTTTGGCCCAACAAGTCCACACTGACCCTTGGAGCATCCTGCCCAAAGCCATACCCCTATAACCCACCTAATCTACACATTCCTGAATACTACAGGCAATTTAGCATAGCCAATCCACCTAACCTACACATCTTTGGACTGTGGGAGGAAACCAGAGCACCTGGAGGAAACCCACACAGATACGGGGGGAAGAATATGCAAACTCCACACAGGCAGTCGCCCGAGGCTAGAATTGAACCTGGATCCCTGGTGCTGTGAAGTAGCATGCTAACTACTGAGCCACCATGCTGCCTTAATATCTGTTGAACTTGATATTGATTTCACGTTAATAGGTGGTTATACAGAGTTCCCAAGCGGAAAATGAGATGTTTTCTTCCAGCTTGTGACTGACACAGATGTCGGCCAGGTAATTTTAGTTGTGTTGAAATGGCAGCCAAATAGAAGCACATTTTTGCTGACAGAAAGTAGGCGTTCTGCAACATGATTGCCCAGTCTACACTTCCTCTCCCCAATATACAGGAGACCACACTGAGCAGTGAATACAGTAGATGAGATTGAGGTAATCTCTAACAGAATGAGAACAATAACAGAAATTGCTGGGAAAAACTCAGCAGAAGCTAATGCTAATGCTGCATTCTCTCCATTGATGCTGCCAGACCTGCTGAGTTTCTCCAGCAATTTCAGTTTTTATTTCTGATTTCCAGCATCTGCAGTTCCCTCAGTTTTTAGAATCAAAATGATGGTACACTTTAAAGTCATCTGCAAAAGAATGGCAGGTTTTGTAAAGTGATTCAAAATTAAGTGCATGAGTTGAGGAGCATAAATTAAAATAAAATATACTTTTATTAATAACAAGAAAACATCGCAAAGAAAACAAACATGTATAACCACCTACTAATGTGGTTGAAGCATTATTGATAAGTTTTGCAGTAGTGCTAAGCCAATAAACTAGAGCACCAGGCAGCACTGCATTGAAACATTCATACATCAGCAGACACTAGCAAATGAATGTATTAATGCATGATGGATTAATAAACTGATGGAGCAGTAGGTATCAGCAAATTGATGTGTCAGTAATTTAAAAAATTCATAAAGCACTGAGCACTCCAGTAGGTCCACAGCTAATAGACCAGTGGACTCGCAAATTAATTAAAACCCCATTAACAGTTCAATGGAAGAGCAAAAGGCAGTGATTTGTACAACTTCCTTCAAAAAGGTTGTGAGCATCTAACACGGATTTGGTGACTGTAAAATTAAATTAGAAAAACTAAAAGCCTCTAATGCTTCACAAAGTTTGCTAAGATGGACATATATATATGGCAGAAATGAAACAGCCTCAAGGATAGACACTAAATATCAGAGAAAACAAACAGGGTCTGAAGCTGAAATTAGGTGCTTAGGACAAAAAAAACCAGGGAAAACAGAATATGTGAAGGGAGCAGGCTGTTGTAAGAGACCCAAAATGGATAGGTTGGAGGGCATGCAGGCAGGAGGTGCCAACGCAGCATAGTTATTGAGAGAAAAACACGGGTTTTAAACATACAGAAAATACAAATATAATCTAACCATTTGGGAGGGAAAATGAAATGGCACATAAACATGCAGCTGTGTTACCTCATATCATCAGTTAAGAAGGCATACTTAGCTCCAGTCCAATGTCCCATCGCCATCTAGCAGCCAAAGACCCCATGACTAGTGTGACAAATATTCATGTACTTTTTTTCCAATCGGACATGTTGACAAGAAAGTTACTTTATTTTTTACAATCAATAACAAAATGATCACAACAAATCATTACGTGACAAGTTCTGTGCACTTCAAAAACATCATTTGAGAATCATTTTCATAAAATCTTAGACACAAAATATGTCTCACAGACCTTGTTATAAACTTGGCATTAAGAAAACACATTAAAAAATACAAGGACCTGGGCACAAATATGCAAGGAAATTTTTCAAACAAAAACCCACCACATGACACAAACTGCTTTACAGTTTTGCAATACAATACTAGTTGTTCCTGTCCCACCCATTGATTTCATATGCATGTACAACATAAGATTTTCCAGCAAACCAGAATTATTTTTTACAATTTGCCCACTTTGTCAAAAAGTATTGCTCTTACATTCACACTGAAAAGGAAGGAAGGAAAATTGCTCCTCATCAAAAATAACATATTGGGCCACTGTATATCAGGCACTTGAAACAACGTACTGAATTCAAGGTCTTCGATGTTTCAAAATCACATTTCAGGCCTGGGTTCAAGTCTCACGTGTGTCAAGGTGTGTAATGACATCTCTAAACAAGTTAGCTTGCTTGAGCTAATCATTACAATGTATTGTGTTTTGTAGATAGTGTTACAACTATGACATTTATAATAGATATGACATTTATAACATTGTTACCCTTTGATATCATTCTTTAATTTACAGTAAAATGAAGTGTCATTTGATCTGTTCTGAAGCCTGCATTACAACAAGCTTAAATGGGTTGATTGTTAGAGATTAAAGGCGGGAGGGCAGACTGTTACTTGGATGAAGATGCAAGGTGCTTACACTTGGACACAATTCCAGCAGCTATCTTTATCAACAGTAGATGGACAGAGTCTCCAAAGTACCAGAAATAGGCTCAGCGTCACATTGCAAACAGTTGGAATTAAACTGATAGATTGAAGCACAAGATAATAAGAGTTGGGGTCTCAAGGATGACTAACATTTCTACCTGGATACAAGACCTAGATGATGCATCTACCATTAAAAAAATAGGCTTTGCGAAAGGAAGGGTCTGAGACATTCTTGAAAACTCACAAACAAGGTTAGTCTGCCAGGATCTGGAAGAGAGAGACCAGCTACAGGCCAGAATTCTCTGTGGTTCAATGCATAGGAATGTGAGTGCAAGTTCATGTTCTGAATGACCAAATGCCTACATTAAAACAACGTTGGAAGATTCACATAGTTTACATTGGAGGAAGAAGCTGTGATGAAGAAACTTAATCTCAAAAATATCCTTCTCCATGAAAAGCTCCCAGTCTGAGTAAGGAAAGAATAGATGTAAACCCTAAAGAATTAAGAATCACCTTCCCCTGGTCCTGGGAAAACAAAATGTCTATTTAAAGAGCAAAATGAAGTAAAAGAATGAAGTAGTTTTACTGTGTGCTACAAAGAGGAACATTCTGTTTCAAGGTTCAAAGTACAAGTTGCACATAAATGTAATGTTTATCTAATTGTGTTTTTAGACTTTTGTACAGTAGAAGTCTTAACACATGAAATCTTGCTGTGTCTTCCTTTTAGCAATTAACAGAAATTTTATTTTTAAGAAGTTATCGGTTTCAACAGGGATTGCAACAATCAATTGAGAAGAACAAATGAGTGACACAGTTTCATTATGCCTTGTGTTGCTTCTTCAAAGTTCTGAATTTAAAATCCAGCCCTGATCTCTCTTTGGTAAATAATGTGGATCTTAGCTTTGGACCTCAAGAAGGCTTTGCCTAAGACTGTCTTGTATTGAATTAGGTGATCTCAATCAGTTGAATATCCTGCCCAAAATTACCAAGCACACACATAAAAAATAGTATTGTGACAGAGAACAGCTATATGTCCCATAGAACTACAATACCTCATTATAATCAGCCCCTCAGACCGCAATCAGTGAAGACAGGCAACAGCAGCACCTCCACAACAATCCTCAACACTGACGCCACCATCCCCATCCCCCCCCGCTTCCCCCCCCCCCCCAAGGATGCATACTCAGCCCCTACTGTATTCCCTGTACGCTCATGACTGTGTGGCCAAATTTCATCTGAACTCCATCTACAAGTTCGCTGATGACACCACTGTTATTGGCTGGATATCAAACAAAGACGAGACAGAATACAGAAGAGATAGAATGCTTGGTGACATGATGTAAAGATAACAATCTCTACCTCAATGTCAGCAAAACTAAAGAGCTTATCATTGACTTCCAGAAGCAAGGAGGAGGGCACACCACTATCTACATCAATGGAGCTGAGGTGGAGGTGTGAGAGCGTCAAGTTCCTAGGAGTGACGATCACCAATGATCTGTCCTAGACCTCCCATGACGACGCAACAGTCAAGAAGGCACAACAATGCCTCTTATTCCTCAAGAAGCTAAGGAAATTTGGCATACTCATAAGGACCCTCGCCACCTTCTACAGATGCACCATAGAAAGCATTCTATCTGGATGCATCATGGCTTGGTACAGCAACCGCTCTCCTAAAATACAAACTAAAGAAAAGAACTGGTCTAACTTTAACTCCACTGGCAAACTTAACAGATTAATAGATTATTTAACTACAAAACAGCAACTGTCCAAGATAGCAATAGCCCATAAACACACCCTTGGCAAAGGCAAATTCCGTAAAATAGATTGTCTCACATGCAATGTTTCTCCAATGCAGAGGAAAGAACATCAAGAGAAAACCCTGGCAGAGAAGGAGAGAACGCAAGCTTTTTTCTATGCCTGAGAAAAATGTATGGCAGATTCAAAACCCATAACTACTGAAAGCTAAACTAAAACCCTGGTTCTATGGGAGCCTGACTATGCTACTTCTATTGTTCTAACTTTAAAAAAAACCAAAGGTCTCACTAGCTGTTTTCTTTATTGGCTTGGAACAGACTGCTTAGAGCTTGATCTCAACCTCTCTTCATAAAACAAAAGGACAAAATACACCTCTTAAAGCCATAGTATTATCACAACCTACTCCACACAGAATTCAATGGTTGAAGAAGATGGTCACCATCATTTTCTTAAGGGTAATTAGGGATGGATGATAAGCATTGGTTTTGTTTGTGACACTTTGTATTCCCTTATTAAATTCAAATTCGTAACACCATATAAAATCAAAGTAAATCTAATTTTCTTTAAAAGTTGGGTGTTAATTGTTTTACAGAATTAGAACAGACTTCAGGGGTGTGCTAAATAAAAACTAAAAGAATTGCAGATGCTGTTAATCAGGAATTTCTGAGGAAGTGTCACCGGACCCGAAACGTTAACCCTGACTTTTCTTCACAGATGCTGCCAGGCCTGCTGAGCTTTTCTAGCAACTTCTGTTTTTATTCAGGAGCGTGCTGTTATATTGTACTGAGCCCTTATCATTCATATGGCATCCACAGGTTAAGAAGAATCAGCTCAGTTGGTTGGATGACTGGCTTGTAATGCAAAATGAAACCAACAGTTTGGGTTCAATTCCAGCACTGGCTGAGGTTATCATGAAGACTTAACTTTGTCCCTCACCTGATGCATGCTGACCATCAGGTCAAGCCATTATCAGTTATCTCTCGCTAAGAAGAGACTGGGTCAATGGTGACTTTATCTTTGCCTACTCCTAACTCACACAAGGAAAACAGGAAGTGGGTTGTCAATATCCCAATGTCTGTAATCTTGGAGAGGTTTTTACCAGAATTAGGGTGTTATCGATTTTAAGGCAAATTGACCTTTAAAAAACATTCGTTAATTATTACTTAGATATTTGCAATAAGTAAAAAACATGAGCTACACTGCAAATAATGAAACAACATTCACAATTGTGCAAAATCCTCTTGTTTCTGAGACTTAAGGAGGTATTTTGAAATGAACGTGAATATTATTTTGAAGTATGAGACAATCTTTTTGTTTCTCTTTTGGTCCTCTCAGGTGAACTGCAGTAAGTAATTGTAATCATAACTCATCAAAATATAATGAGGTGATTTCTTAAGAGAGGAGCTTCATGTAACTGTACTTTTCAATTATAAATCTCGTTAGTAATTGATTAATTAAAAGCATCGCTGGTATTAATTTTTGGTGTTGCTGATACAGCATATGACAAATATAACTCTTAAATTCAGTTACCTTACGTGGTTCTAGGATGACTGTGCAATAAGCAGGACTAAAGCTGAAGGAAAATTATACTTTACATTTCACATAGACAGTCAATGAAGTTAGGCGAGACACATGGAACTATCGTAAGAGAAAGAAAATAGTCAAAAGGAAAGTAACTCTTAGAAATGAATGTTCTAGTCATCCTGGAGCTCCATTTTGAGCTATACAAGATGTGACATTCACAAGTTTTCCACTGTTTTTCCCTAATTGGAGAAGTAATCTCACATCACTTTCAATTTATACCATTTCCAGTTATATGGAGACAAAATGACGTTCAAAAAGTTCCTAGGTCATGCAAAGAATTTAATAATATTGCAAATAAAGCCACCCTCCCTGATGATGTTTATTTATAAAAGGTATTCAGATCTATTTTTCATTATCAGAGAATGACAAGGAATTACTTTATAATTTGGACATCATGCCTCTCTATCTGAGTAGGTACTGGACACAAACTAATACCTCTCTAGGACAATGCCCCAAAGACTTTGCAAGCGTTTTCAGAAAAACTGAGTATCAATTGAATTGTTAGATATTTACTGAAAATTCATTTTGCTCTGCTACCTAAACGAGATTTAAAATAACAATACTTGTGCTGCAATCAGAATTTTTGTCCAGAAGCATCTTGGAAGCCATCTCTTTTGTTTTCCGAAGGTTTTCCGAAGTCAGTAGTGGCAACTTGTGTATCTGATGACAGCTTTGGCATAAGTGAAAGCAGTAAATGCACATTTAAATTTAGTCATGGTAAGGCAGGATTAAGTTCTCTGATAACATTATCTCTCATGGGACTTGTTTTATGCTGATTGTCAGAGAATCTATGGACGTGTAGACAGAGAAACACCGTGGAATTGAGGTAAAAAGAAGTGAACCAACATACTATTTTGTTGTCAGACAGGCCTGTATTCTTGTTCCTATTTCATGTAATCCTATGAAGGCTTAACTGTGTTAGTTATAATATATCATAGGAACAATCTTGAGTCATGTGGTTCATCTGTGTTCAGAATATGCTTATTTATCAGCGAGGTAGGGATTAATCAAGAATCGTCAGAATGGCTATGTTGGGGTAGATCGAGTGTAACAAATTTGATTGAATTTTTTGAGGACATGACAAGGTGTGTAGATCAGGGTAGTGCAGTTGATGTAGTCTATGTGGACTTCAGTAAGGCTTTTGACAAGGTTTCACATGGACAAACTGGTTAAGAAGCTAAGAGCCCATGGGATCCAGGGCAGTTTGATCCAAAATTGACTTAGGGTGATGGTTACAGAATGGCTTTGTTACTGGAAGGCAGTGTCCAGTGGCATACCACAGGTTTCATTGCTGGGATCCTTGCTGTTTGTCATGTACATTAATGATATTTACCTGAATGTAGGAGTTATAATCAGTAATTTTGCGGATGACATGAGAATTTTTAGAGTGGTAAGTAGTGAGGAGGAAGCCTTAGACAAAAGGATGTCATCGATGAGCTGGTCAGATGGAGTGAACAGCGACAAATGGGATTTAATAGTGAAAAGTGTGAGGTGATGCATTTTGGGGGGACTAACAACGAAAGGAGTACACATTGAATGTTAGGGCCTTAGGAAGTACAGACGATCACAAGGACCTTGGTGTGGATGCACATAGATCCTTGAAGGCTGCAAGACGGGTAGATAAAGTGATTAAGAAGACATATGGGATATATGCATTTATTAGTCAAGGCATTAATGCAGGAGCAGGGAAGTTATGATGAAGCTGTATAGGATGTTGGTTAGGCCACAGCTGAAATACTGAGTGCAGGTGTGGCTGCCCAAGTATAGGATGGATGTGATTGAACAGGAGGAGGTGCAGAGGAGATTCACGAGGATGTTGGAGCGATTCATCTCTGAAGTGAGATTAGATAGGCTGGGACAAAAACAGAAGTTGCTGGAAAAACTCAGCAGGTCTGGTAGCATCTGCAAAGAAAAATCAGAGTCAACGTTTCAAGTCTGGTGACCCTTCCTCAGAACCCAAATTTTTAACTCTGATTTTTCTTCGCAGATGCTGCCAGACCTGCTGAGCTCTTCCAACAGTTTCTGTTTTTGTTCCTGATTTGCAGCATCCACAGTTCTTTTGGTTTTTAATTTAGATAAGCTGGGACTTTTTTCCTTTGAACAGAGAATACTGAGTGAGGAACCTGACTAAGGTGTACGAAATTATGAGGGACTTGGATACAATGGGTAGGGAGACATTTTTCTCCTTAGTAGAGGGTCAATAACAAGGAGACACAGTTTTAAGGTAAGGAGCAGGAGGTTTTGAGGAGAAATCTTTTCAGCCAGAAGTTATCAGAAGCTCACCACCTGAAAGGATGGTAGAAGCAAGAACCCTCACAACATTTAAGAACAATTTGGATGAGCACTTGAATTGCCATAGCACACAATGCCATGGGCCAAGTGCTGGAAAATGGGTCAAAATAGATAGACACTTGATGACAGTTGCGGACATGATAAGCTGAAGGGCTACTTCCCATGCTGTAAAAACTCTATGACTCTACAATTACATATGTGCTGGAAACAGCAAAGGAAAGAGTTTTTCATGTGTATCATGTGGATAATGGTTCTCTTAACCCACTACGATTTAGTGTTTTTGCAGAAATCACATGCCAGCACCTTCCTTTCTCGGATCCGGAGGGCTAATGATGGCCTGGAGGAACTACTACACGATAATATGGAAAGAGAATGCGTTGAAGAAAGGTGTTCTTCAGAAGAGGTTCAAGAGGTTTTGAGAAATTCTCCAATGCCTGTAAGGATTGCATCTAAAGCAATTCAATCTTAATACCTGCTCAGCAGAATCAGTGGTTTAAAAGCACAAAGCATAGGATGAGGATTGGACACCTAAAACCCATTTCATTGGCAACACTTGGAGCATTATTGCCCAAAATAGCTGCTCAAAAGCACAACTACAGGCTGCTTCAAGCAAAGCCTGCCCAACAAACATTACAAATGACTGTAACCTTCCTGTGGTAGCTCATCCTAATCCCATACTGTAGCATCTAATAGTTGCTCGTGACCTTCTCCTTCACTCCTACAACTTCTCATAATTGACACTAACAGAGTGCTTACCTGATCTGACTGAAGAACCTAGTTATCTGACAGTTGTTGTAACAAAAGCAACAACCTGACATTTCTTTGTACTTCACTGGCTTTTCAAAATGCAGGCTGAAATAACTCTACAGACATTGGTATCCCCATCGTCAAGTCACTCTTTATTTACATGTGGGCAATCCTTGACTCTGGCACAGCATCATCAGAGTCAGCACCTAGAGCTTCAGGATCTCTGACATTCCTCTTTTTACCTGTCAGTCAGGGCTCCCTGATTGGACCAAATTAAAACTCCCAATCATGGAATCCATATTCTATGAGGTCCAGCTGGCTGACCTCATTACAATCACTATACAGGCCCAACTAACTTGAAGAGTTAGATCATGTCCAACTGGAAAGGGTTAGGTTATAATTTGACATTCTCAGAGTGTTCAAATAGAGAGCGTTCCTGAATTTCAAGGCCACAAACAAAGGAAGATGAAGATCCCAGTAAGCATGCTAATATTTCTGTTCAGAAAATCAGTGTCTAAAAGTTACTATCAACAATGTTGATAAACAAATGTATGATATGTTAGCATAAATCCCTTTCTATTGCATTTCAGCCAAGGCATTAACCATTTAAAACAAACTGATTAATGCTAAATTAAAGAAGTGTGCAGAGGAATGTTAGTACACCTGCTAATGTCTCATTAGAATATATGTAGCTAAGTTACATGATGATTCAGGAACGTAAACATAAATGCAACCTTACTGTCATTATATTTCCTCATGTTTTAAATATGCTTTGTGTTGATGGGCATCTTTAATTATCATTTGCTTTGGGAGCTTCCTAACAACCCAGCACTGGACCACTTAACTCTTATAACAGATTCATATGTGGAGTTGATTAATAAGAGATGATTACAGTACATACAAGGACCAATTTTATAAATTCAAGGAACCATGTACACTGGTCACACATACTGGCAAATTCTAGAGCAAAAATTGTTGATGGTGAAACCATTGGGCTGAAGTTTCTTAGTCTCTGAATGTTGTGGGCAATGATGGGAAGGTTGGGAATTACGACAAAAGTGAAAAGTTGAAATTCTGGATGTTGAGAAAACAAGGTCCAATTTTCCACTTGAGGCTATAATAGCTGGTTGAGAATCTGGCTAGTGAATAGTGAGGGGCCTATTGCATGCATTAATGAGCATTAACATTTATTAATTCTCTAATCGCATCTCATTTATGTTTAGGTTGTTATTTTCCCAGTTATCAGGGAGAAACTAGATAGCGCCACTTCCCAATTTAACCTGGCAGCTGCAGCTCACAAGCACCTACTCCAGGTGTCCTTCTTGGCCAGCATTCCCCCAACAACACAGCGCATGCTCCTTTGGCAGCAACCACCTGAACCCTCTCTCCATAGGAGTCAGCAATGGCTTCACTACTTCATCATGGCACATCTTGGACTAATTTACAATATGGTTCAACTTCTAAATTCTGCACTTTGGAGTTCACGGACAACTTTCATTCCAATGTGGCTGCCAAGTCATTTTGGGCACAGGGAATTGGGCTATTAAATTGCTTTCTGAAGCCATAGTGCATACTTAATAAGGTGATTGGTGCAAAATTTAGCACAAAATGATTTTAGGGCTCACAAAGTATGACCCTCCATGAAATTCCCCAAAATTGATATTTAGTCCAATTTTATGAAAATTCAGCCTATTGTTTCCAAGTATGTGGAACAAATGAGTAGGACTCCCAAACAACACTGCTCATTTGTAATATCACTCCTTATTATTAAGAAGCATGCGTCCATCCATGTGCTGCACAAACTAAAATAAGATTTTTTTTTGCAGGACCAATTTTGGATTTCACCTAATGGTATGTTTTTTTTTAGAAAAATCAATCTGATGCATAGATTGTACTTTAAGTATATTTATTTTTGAATTTCTTTGCTAAAACAACAGACAGAGAAAATTCACACAAACACATTTAAATATTCAGTAAGAAATATCACACCACTTGAATTTAACCCATTTGGAATTGTTAGTGAGGAGACAATTAGTTATCTCATTCAATTAATTATGCAGTTAGGGATAGACACCAAAAGCTGGCCATGTCCATATTCCATGAAAGAGTCATGAACTAGTGTTGGGTTTCAAAATGGCTGTAAAATAAGGAGGTGATCCCTGATGCCTTTCGATAGGCTGAAATAGATGTGCTTTTCCCCACAAGCAAGAAGAAATTTGACATCATAAGTAACAGGTCTGATGTAACTTAGGATGTAAGCGGCAGAGTGTGATACCAAAGACTTGGATTCAGTGCAGAAAACGTATCCATAAACTCACTAGTCAAGACTAATCAATTCTGGCCCTTCATGCCCATCTCTTGAAATGTAACTGCACTTGCAGGACCTTAAAATTAAGGCTACAAAAACCCATTATGAGCATCTTATAAATATTGACAGAGAAGCATTTGATCTAGCTGATATTCAAAACCCCAAATTAGCATTCAGTTGATCCCTTAAATGATCTAGCTTTACACACTGCACCTCTAAATATACACAGTAGATATTACTTACCATATATTGGAATGGGATCACCTTTTCTTGCTGTTGCTGGGTAAAAATCATGGAACTCTCTTCCAATCAACACTGAGTGTACCTGCCAGCCATCCACCCATGGACTGCAGTCATATAAGGAGGCAGGTGACTATCACATCTTCAAAGACAATTAGGGGTGAGCAATAAATGCTGGCAAAGCCAGTGACATCCACATCTGCAATCGAATAAATTTAAAAAATCCTGAGAGGGTATCTTTTCTGAAATTGCTTCCTTCCAACTGAACAAAATATGCTTAGTCCATCTGCATTAAAGAATATTCTTGTGACAGATACGATGATGGATCATGAGCAAATGTTTCTTGTTTAATTGCAGGTACAGCGTTTATATTTCTAATTGTTTAAAGAGTCTCTCCAGGTTCAAAACAGTTTGTATGTTATTCTTTCACCAGAATATAATACAACCAAACATATCAAAGTGCAAGGTACTGGAAAGTGGACCTTTTAAAGATCATTATTGAACATGGCTTTATAGAGTAACATATGAGTAGGAGTGTTAAAGAGGTTTATTTGTCATTTTATACAGATACAGCCTGAAATTTGTCACATTTTGCATGCTGTCTTATACCAACCCAATTTTTATTGCATGAATGGTGTCATGATTTCTATGTTTTTCACTTAATGTAAAGATGAACATTCTTTAGAAAATCTTTTAGCTGAAATGACAATGTCCCTTTAATACAAAATGTCTTTTTTTTGAACAGGCAGCATTAAACCACTCCCCTGTTTTCTGAGCCAATGTAAGTTTATAATACAATTCACTAAAGAGTTGAAAAACATATGGTTTTTTTCTTGGAAGGAGGATAAACACAAAGCTAAGCAACATAAATATCATAACTATCATCATTCTATGAAAGGATTGCAATGAAATAATTCATGTGGTTATGAGACATTGTCTACTGCTTTTCAGGGAACATAGGCTTAAAATATAGCCAAAAATAAGGAAGCAAGCGAGGCTGAGAGATATAGCAGCCAGGAAGCGTGTTTCTCATGAGTGTGGATATGTTGTAAATTTTTATCAACTTAATTTACCAGCTGAATTAGGAGCCGTTGGTTGGGGGGGGAGGGCAGCTGGGGATTGGTGAACCTGAGCCAGAAAATGTGCTATTGGTGATGTTCATCAGAAGGGATAGGAGCTGAAAATCTTGGAAGGTGAGGTCAATGTCAGTGGTGGAGGTGAGTGGAGAGGGGGGGAACATCACCAGTTCAATTATATGGGACAAGGAGCCCAACAACTGGATATTATCAGGGCCTGGACCCTGTGCCACTGTCTTTTAATGTGAATGCACTAATTACGTAGGAAATGAGCTTAGAAACTGGTTAGTGGTACCGAGTTTGGCCAGGAACTGCCTGCAATGCACAAGCAACAAAGGAAATGGCAACAATGTTGGGACCTACCTTTGCCTTGCAGAGAAGACAGGCCTTCTCTGAGAACCAGCAGCCTCATTGAGTGTAAAGCTGACCAAAGTCCAAATAGGTCAAACATATGAACTGGTGCCAGATCCTACAACTCTTGAAGATCTCTCAAATGAAAAAAAGAAACTTTGATTTCTTCTGCCTTTGAACACAAAAGATGTGCACTAATATTCATTAATCTATACAGATTCAGCAGTTTCAAATTTGAGTACTTGCTCCTGGCCTACCCAACCTATTAAGAAGTGCCTTAAGGAGGTTAATTGGCTGTTAATTGGAGGCAAATTCTTCCCTTTTGCATTCCAACCTCCTGTCCTCCCATTGAAAATTGTGTTGTGTTCCAGAAGAGGTAACATCCAGTGTCACACTCCAGGAATTAAATTTTCAAATTGTGCATCACCATGTCACAACTTCATGGCAGCTGAAAACCCATCAACATTTCTACTAGCAATCACATAGAGTATGGGTATTCTGCCCATTTTTTAAATCTCCTGGCAGCGATACTGCTGACACCTCCAGCTGATATTCAGCTGATTCAACATAAAGTAGAGTTCAAGTTCAGGACCTACCTGGGTTACGGTCCCTCCTATGGGGCTAATTATATGTGCTGCTATTTCAGAACACATTCTCTCTGTCTTGTTGGTCCCTCTGGAGAGCATCACAGTACATTTCACTGTATAGACTCTTGAAGAATGCAATGCATTGGGATCTTGTGAGGGGATTCTTGTGCATGAAACAAGAAATGTTAGCATGAGATGCAGCAAGTAATTAAGAAGGTAAATGGAATTTTGGCCTTTATTGCTAGGGGATTTTGCATTTTAAAATATATATTTTAAAATACGTTGATGAGGGCCCCATTTGGAATATTGTGTACAGTTTTGGTCCCTGTACTTTAGAAAGGATATATTGGCATTAGAGCCAGTTCAAAACAGATTCACTAGGCTGATTCCTGACATGAAAGGGCTGACTTATTGAGAATGGATGAACAGGTTAGGCCTTTATTCATTAGACTTTAGAAGAGGAAGGGTGATCTATGGAAACATACAAGATTCTATAGGAGTTTGACAAGATAGATGTTGAGAAGATGTCTCTACTAGTGTTATATAGTTACGAAATAAGGGGACACTCATTTAAAGCAGAGATGTGAGGGGATTCCTTCTCCCAGAAGATAGTGAATGCTCTGAATTCTTTATCCCAGAGAATTGTGGAAGCTAGATCACTGAAATTGTTTAAATAGGATGTTGATAGATTTTGGACTTGTTGGGAAATTGAGGGCTGTGAGGAAATGGCACAAACGAGGGATTCAAGCCAAGGGCAGATCAGCCATGATCTTATTGAATGGTGGAACAGGCATGAGGGACCAAATAGCCTAGTCAGGTCTTATTCCTTATGTTCTTATTTCAAGAGATAATACTCCTTGTTCCAACTGCCTTTGCTTATTGTTTGTGAGTTAACATGAAAATATCCTCAAATTTTAACCGTTCAAACGCTATCCTGACGATAATTGTAAATAAATGAATAATTGGAATTTTTACAAACAGAAAACAAT